ACTGCTGTATTTTGGACCAGTGACAGCTTTCCTCTGTAATGGACCCAACAAGAAGATAGAACATGTAGACGTCTTTTCTTTGGATCTCCCACTGCTGCACACAAAAGCCTGGAAGCTGAGATTGAAGGATGATTTCCTCAGTGGAAGATCCATCACCTGCAGATAGAAATCACAGACGCTAAACCGAAAGACTGTTTCCTAGAAAGCAGGAGGAGGATCTCTAAAGATTATTTATGCTGTTAAAATCTACTGATTCAACGTCAGATGTCCACCGTTTGATTTAGAGCAACTGAGGTCATATCGTCCCGTGACATTTGGTTTTAAATGAAGACTCCTTGAAGAGAAGTAGCCTCTGATTTATTGTGGAGAACATTTTACAAGCCCAGTCGGTGTCATCGAGGAACATCTTCGATTAATCTCTCACACAAAATATGTAACCTGGTTTCCTTTGGCTTCAACTTCCCGGGAATTTAAGAGTAATTACTAAAGTAGGACGAAGCCAAGTTGGATGTGTCCTTCTACGAAAACAGTTAACGTTTGTTTTGATGCAAAAACATGTGACAGTTGGCGTCCATGTTTGGTTTGGTAAAAGAATATTTGATAGTTGACGTCAATGTTTCTTTTGATTAAAGAACATGTGACAGTCGCGACCGACCATGTTTGTTTTGGTCATGAACTCTTGATGATTGAGTCTGTTTTAAAACCATGTGACAGTTGGTATGTTTTGGTCATAAACTCGTACCAATATACGTCCATGTTTGTTTTGGTACAACAACACGTGGCAATTAAGTTTAAAATATTATATTTTCTACTTTATCTCCAGGATCTCAGATTGTCCCCGAAATGAGGGACGGGCGTAGTTTCTGTCTCCATCCCTTCCTCCCTGTGTCTCTTTGAGAGCTCTTGATTCTCTGTAATCCCAGCGTTTTGTTTCCAGCGGTGATTGCTGTGTCCGCTGAAAGAATGATGGCCTGAACACATTTGTCTCCTTCTTTCCGTGAAAACTCTTGAAACTCAATTAGAGGAGGATCTGTTCCTGCCGCTGACGTCTCCTGCGACTAATAGCTCTTATCATCTGCTAAACAATGACGGATTTACTCTGCGACTCCTGTGTGTTTGGAAAGAGACTTTTCCTCCAATGTTAGAAAGAGGACAGACTTCTTCCCTTGTTCAGCGTTTCTACCTCAACTTCATCTTATATCCAGAGGTGGGAAGTAGTGGAGTACAAATACTTCGTTACTGTACTTAAAGAGCAACTTCCAGGTTAAAGACACCTGTGAATAAATGTGTAGGAAAATGATGAATACACTAGATTTTCAAAGAAAGATACAGAAATATAAACTACAGTGACATCTGGCGTCGTTTTTGTAAGAAATGTTCACTTACTTTCTACTTCTTACATGTTGAACTCAAATACCTGTACTTTCTACTTCTTACATGTTGAACTCAAATACCTGTACTTTCTACTTCTTACATGTTGAACTCAAATACCTGTACTTGGCGTCCATGTTTGGTTTGGTAAAAGAATATTTGATCGTTGACGTCAANAACAACAAAAGAAAATATCAGCTACTTAAAGGTGACCTATCATGCAAAATGCACTTTTGTACGTCTTTTATACATGAATATGTGTCCCCGGTGTTCCAGCGAA